GATACTTATGTTTACTATTAATAGTAATACCAGAAATCTAATTAACTAATCAAGATAACACATTGAATCATACAAACTGAGGATATGGTAAAAAATTTTATTTTTAAAAAATTATTAAATTTTATGTTTTAGAGAAATTTTAGATTTAAAGAAAGTTTCCATAGAAAGTAGAGTTTCTGTATATTCACTTCTCTCCTATTCCCTGTACACAATTTTCCCCATTATCAGCAGCTTCCATTATTGTAGTGTGTTTGTTATGATTGGTGGATGACCACTGATACATTTATTTATTTATTAAAGATTTTTAATTATTTATTTGAGAGGCAGAGTTACAGAGAGAGAGGGGGAGGGAGAGACAGAGAGAGAGGTCTTCTGTCCACTGGTTCACTCCCTAGATGGCCACAACAGCTGGAGCTGGACTGATCTGAAGCCAGGAACCAGGAGCTTCTTCCAGGTTTCCCACGTGGGTGCAGGGGCCCAAGGACTTGGGACATCTTCCAGTGCTTTCCCAGGCCATAGCAGAGAGCTGGATCAGAAGTGGAACATCTGGGACTCCAACCAGCACCCATATATGATTCTGGCGCCACAGGAGGAAGCTTAGCCTATTATGCCACAGCACCACCCCCACCCAATACATTTATTATTTGCTGAAGTCCACAGTTTACATTTGGAATTATTCTTCATATTGTACAATTTTATGAGCTTTTATTAACATTTAATGCCATGTGCCAACCACTACAATACCGTAAAATGTTTTGTGCTGTACGCGTTCAACATTTCCTCTCTTCCCCTGAACCATTGGCAATCACCGATCTTACTGTTTTCTCTAAAATTTTACCTTTTCCAGTTTGTCATATAATTATTACCATACTGTATGGAGGTTTCTCAGAATGACATATGTCACCCAAGTGAATGCTATTCCATTATATGGCTGTAACAGTCTGTTTGCCCATTCATTTTCCTATTAAATGTTTAAAACTATCTGCTTAAATCTTTTGCTTCAAATAACAAATTTCTTTCATACTTGAAAGTATTATTATATGTTGATAAACAACTTAATACTTTATCCCTTTTAGTATTTTTTTTTTTTTTGTTCTACTTAATCCAATTGGTTGAACTCTGTAATTAACACACTATGGCGGCCAGCACTGCGGTCCAATAGGCTAATCCTCTGCTTGTGGCACTGGCACACTGGGTTCTAGTCCCGGTCGGGGCACCGGATTCTGTCCTGGCTGCCCCTCTTCCAGGCCAGCTCTCTGCTGTGGCCTTGGAGTGTAGTGGAGGATGGCCCAAGTTCTTGGGCCCTACACCCGCATGGGAGGCCAGGAGAAGCACCTGGCTCCTGCCTTCGGATCAGGTGTGTCGGCCGCAGCGTGCCGGCTGCGCCGGCCATTGGAGAGTGAACCATCGGCAAAGGAAGACCTTTCTCTCTGTCTCTCTCTCTCTCACTGTCCACTCTGCCTGTCAAAACAAAACAAAACAAAACAAACAAACAAAAAAACACACTATGGCCTTGTCTAAATAAGATCGGAGTCGTCGCACTCAAAATACTTCCATAGCCTTGGCAACTCATGACTAGAGCCTAGGGAGATTACTGACTCCATAAACAAGAGTGTCAATTTGTTAATTCAACAACAGGAGTCACTGTGCACTTACTCCTTATGTAGGATCTCTGTCCTTAATGAGTTTTACAATGTGAATTATGCTATAACTAGTACTCAAACAGTACTTTACACTTTGTGTTTCTGTGTGGGTGCAAACTGTTGAAATCTTTACTTGATATATGCTAAATTGATCTTTTGTATATAAAGAATTGAAAATGAATCTTGATGTGAATGGAAGGGGAGAGGGAGCAGGAGATGGGAGGGTTGCGGGTGGGAGGGATGTTATGGGGGTGTAAAAGCCACTGTAATCCATAAGCTGTAATTTGGAAATTTATATTTGTTAAATGAAAGTTTAAAAAAAGAAAGTATTACTATTTGCATTTTTTGTTTTTCTGTATTTGTAGTAGAAGTTTTACTGGGGCAACGCTAAGTAAATTTTGAAATTAGATATGATCTAGTCAACTCTATTAATACAAATATGTGCCTATATAACAACTTTATAATATTGTGGTGGTTTTTTTATTTTTTATTTATTTTTTTTTTTTTGACAGGCAGAGTGGACAGTGAGAGAGAGAGACAGAGAGAGAAAGGTCTTCCTTTGCCGTTGGTTCACCCTCCAATGGCCGCCGCTGCAGCCGGTGCACCGCGCTGATCCGATGGCAGGAGCCAGGATCCAGGTGCTTTTCCTGGTCTCCCATGGGGTGCAGGGCCCAAGCACCTGGGCCATCCTCCACTGCACTCCCTGGCCATAGCAGAGAGCTGGCCTGGAAGAGGGGCAACCGGGACAGAATCCGGCGCCCTGACCGGGACTAGAACCCGGTGTGCCGGCGCCGCAAGGTGGAGGATTAGCCTATTGAGCCACGGCGCCGGCCTGTGGTGGTTTTTTTAATACATGTTATTTGAATCATGTCCTAACTGTATTGATAAATATAATGAATTTTAAAATCTTACCATATTTCAAGAATAAAAATATTGTTATTAACTATAGCCACCATGTCTTTCAATAGATATGTTGAAATTATTCATCCTATGAAGTGAAGTTTTGTGTCTTTGACCAAAAGTTTTCCAAAGGCCAATCCTTGGTAACTGCCATTCTATTATTTACTTCTGTGAAATCAACCTTGTTAATTTTCACATACGAAGAAAATAGATATAATGTATTCCTACCACAGAAATTACAACTATGAGATAATGTACATGTCTGTTAGTTGGAGTTAGTCATCCCACAATACATGTATGCTTTAAAATACCAAGAAGTACATGATAAATGCATAGAATTTTATCTGTCAATTTTAGTAATAATAAATTAACCCTTGAAAGTATATTCACCTTAGATATTGGCATGAAGTAATGTATACATGAAAAAATTGCTTTTCATGTGCTAAGAAGAGTAAGATACTAGGATACAATGGTACATGGGTAAACTACTTTATATTCAGTCCTCTCAAAAGAGCGGCAAATCATTTCATCATACTGTCCATTTTTTACCAGCAGTCTATATACTTCTTACATAATCATTTTCTCTAACAAAGTTATTTACTTTTTCAAATTGTTTTTATTTCCTTTCCATTTGTCTTCTTGTGGCAAGTGTTCTGTCTGACCTCTGCACCACATCAGGTCTATCAATTACTGGCCTTATTTTTTGCATTTCCCTGTCAATCTCTACAAACCCTTGAATTAATGGATGAATGAATGAATGAGTGAAAAATTCCATCAGCAATTTCTAAGATACCTGTCATAGTGAACCTCTACGTGTGATTTCCAAAATTTTCAGTTCACATCCTTGTTCCAGTGCTAACTTAGTCCATAAAACTCAACATGTTTTCGAAGTTCTCAAGGTTTGAGTTTTCTTACGTGAAAAATAAAATAATGGAAGGATTGTATAAGTACTAAATGTGCTAATCCATGTAACGTTTTCAACTTTATGTGTATCTGTTACTCAGCAAATGATTTATGAATATTAGCAATTATTATTCTTAAATTGATATTTCCTTTATTTATGAATAGAAAGTATGATGACAACTCTCCCAGAACCCTAAAGACCTTTTTCCTTTCTAGTTTTTTTAGAGCTGTTTTTCTCCATTAATAGCTACTCTCTACGTATTATTGTATGCCAACAAACAATAATATTTTGCCACCAAAGTTAGCAGCTTAGGGAAGTTTTTTCTCTAAATCTCTCAACAATATCTAACACAAAGGAGACAGTACAAGGCTAACTTCATTTTTTAATCAACCTTTCTGTTGCTTTCTCCAATGAGCATTCCTTATTTATTCTCTGAAAGCTGTGTATGTTTATTAATAATAAAAAGAATGTAGTAATATAGTGTCTCATCATGGATGCCTTTGTTATTTTAAAATATTGTAATTATTTCTTACAACATATTAGAGTGTAAGTTCATCCCTGACAGATGGGTACATCATGATGAGTGAAAAGCATTAGTAATTTAACATATTTAAGCTACCGTGGAAAATTAGCAATGATGTGAAAATTGAAAAACTCATTTCCTAATGCAATTTAGGCAAGGCTGCAAGGATTTTCATTAAATAATATAAAACAAATTAGAGAGAGAGAAACAAAACTCAGGGGTAGTAAACAGAATCACATTAAAAGATGGTTTTCAATATGTTTTAACTGTTTGAAGACCAAAACCAGTTAACTTCACTCTCATTTCAAAATCAGAAAAACCTTTCTGGATTCCCAGCTATTTGATTTGATGTCGTTATTATTGCTATTTGATCATTGTATTTAGAAAATTATGTTAATATTAAATGGATTTGGGAAACTGTTAAAATCTCAGTTTGGGATGCCTGCATTCCATATTGGAATGCATGGTTCAAGTCATAGCTACTCTGCTTCTGATCCACTTCCTACTAAGGTGCACCCTAAGGTGCAGCTGATGGTTCAAATATGTAAGGGCCTATCACCCACTTGAGAAACCCGATGGAGTTCTGGGCTTTTGCTTGAGCCTGGCCAATCCATGGCTGTTGTGTGTATTTAGGAGTGAACCTGAGGATAAACTATCTCTGTCTGCTGGTATGTCTCTTTCTGTCAGTCTGCCTGCCTTTCAATACAATGACAATACATAGAAATAAAAAAATGGTTTTAAAGTTCAAAATAAAAGCAATTTTGAGAAATGAATGTGCTAAATTTTCAGTAGATTATAAAGCTTTTATATTGTAGTTTTTAAATTTCTTTAACTGCAGTAATTGCTGAGTAGCAAAGCAAATCATGCTTCATTTCAGAGTAAAGAAAGCTTTAAATTTTAACACGGTCCCTACTGGGATAAGTCTCAAGTGTAAAGTCTTTGCTTTATTTAACTTGTTTACTGTTCATTCCTTTCTTGTGACCTAGAACCAATTTTTCTTTTCTTTTCTTTTCTTTTTTTGTTTCTATAGAAAGCTGATCTTGCAGTTGCTCCACTGGCTATTACCTACGTTCGAGAGAAGGTCATCGACTTTTCCAAGCCCTTTATGACACTTGGAATAAGTATTTTGTACCGCAAGCCCAATGGTACAAACCCAGGCGTCTTCTCCTTCCTGAATCCTCTGTCCCCTGATATCTGGATGTATATTCTGCTGGCTTACTTGGGTGTCAGTTGTGTGCTCTTTGTCATAGCCAGGTAACATGCTCACTTTTGTGATTTTTTTGGCAATTGTTAACTCCTTTTTCTAACTAATAATTGTCAAAAGTCACAATCAATTTTACTTTTTCTTTTCTTTATTCCCCATTACGTGCTAGAGAATAACGAGCTTTAAGAATCATGCCCACTTACTAAAATGTACTATGCTGCCTTCTTTGGGCAGAAAGCATGCTGGTTGTGTCAGTAAGCTATCAGTGTGATGGGACACTGTTCTTATCCAGTATCTTAAAGCATTGATAAAAATAATTTTCCTCAGTCTGAAGATTTCTGCTGAACCCAAAGCAAAATATCATGTTTTGCTAAAATGAATTATTAATTTAGTCGTAACAAAAACAAAGTAGTAAAGTTTCAAAGAAGACTTTCTTAAGGAATCAAAATTAACTTAAAACATGTACTCTAAGTTTTAAAAGTTACTATTATTTTAACAAGAAATATTTCACAAAATAAATATATCACTCCCAAATATTGTAATATTGTCATTGACATGTGGATTATGTTTCAAGTTATAGTATCTGAAGTCAAATGCCTTACTGAAAAAAAGTTTTATATATTTATAAAGGCCTTTAAAATCCCTGATACAGGTGAATCAATATTTTGCTACTTAATAGTAATTCATAGATGTAGAAATTTGTAGGCATTTTGACATGTCTTTATCTCATTATTAAATTTTCAATTGATATGTCATTTGAATATGATTTTGTTTGCTTTTGCCTTAACTGAGATAAGGAATATACCTCAGGACTCAATACTTTATTGCTGCTGTAATGACATTGAAGGCCACATACTCACTGTACTCTTTTAATTTTAAATATTATATAACAAAAATATAGCTTAGAAACCAAAATGAGTTAGAATCCTACCTATATTTTTTCATGATAAACACATTTATAGTGTATATATGTGTTTTTGCATTCTATAATCAAAGTTAATTGAGAGTTTGCCTTTTCTTGAGACTGCTTGACATAGGTTCGTTTCATAAATTTGTTACCAGGACTATTTGTCTCTCCACAAATTTATTTTAATAAGTTTATGTATTTTTGCCAGTAGTAAAACAGATGTTTAGCTCACTTAGTTATGGAAATAAAATCAATGATTGGATTATCATAATATTTCTGATGCATTTATATTTCTATCTTTTACAGTTATTTTGATATATTTATAAGTAATTACTATACAACTGTATAATTTTCTAATATATTAAATATTATGATTTGAATCCTTAGCACTCTTATCATTTGCATTTGCCTGCAAACATGTTTTGAAACCTGGTAGCAATGCAGCATTTGATGCTATCTAGTACAGCCTATCAGAATTTTATTTGAAGTTTAGGGTTCTCCTCCTCAAAATGAGAATTTAGAATGTGATTAATTTTTACCTTCAACTTTTTCCATACTCTGTAAAACTAAAACATCTTCTTGTTTTTGAGCATTTTTAAACTAATTCCGTCTTTTAAATGTGAGGCACCATTGTAGGGACAATTAAGATCAATTAATTATAATAATTAATTCTATTATAAGGCCAATATAATTATGATTATATATAAAAATAAACATATATATGCACTCCTATATATCAAAATATTCTGATAAATGAGTTCACACATTTCAGTCAGAACAAAGGCCAAATAGAAAAATAAATTCTACAAAGTGTAGGAAAAGCCTTCCTTGGCATCAGCACGTATACCTTTTTCTCCTTAATCACATGAAGAAAATTTCCCAGCAAGAATATAAATAAAGCCTAGACTTTGTGAGATAGTTATGAGGCATTAATGTGGACTCAATTAAACTGAAGTCATTCTAAAAATAGTTTTCTAGAGATCTTAGAAACTAAATGTTTAGTTGACTCAACTTTATATTAGGAATTTTAGATTTTACTAAATTCCCAAGCTCAGATTCTCTGAAACTAGAATCAAAAGTAAATAATGTAAAGAAACTGGATGTTTTCTTTCTCAGCTTAAAAGTACATTAGCAAGTCCAGGAATGCCCTTATCTAACTTTTCAAAATATGTCCATAATTCTTAGTTTGATGTATAATTTTTACATAATATCTATATAATTATGGCAACCTGTAATGATTTTATGCAAAATAAATACATCAATATCATTTTATTTGAGCAAGCAAAGTCAGGATATTTACCATTTTCAAGTGCCTTTAAATTTTGCATTGTTACTTTAAAATTTTGCCATTAGTCTTTAAATTGATGAATTAGGAAATTATCCTGTTTCAACCTTTTCAGCACTGTGAGAGCAAATGATCTCATATACTTAAATCATTAGGTACTTAAAATACAAAAAAATTAAAATTTTATTTATTGGCAAATAAAAGATGTATAAAATAATAAATAATGTCAGATTAACTATGGTAAGTAATAAATATTATTAGACACTCTTTGTAAAGTAATACTTAATAAACTAAATATTTTGCACATTATTTACATAATACTTCGTATAATTTTGAATAGTAAAATAATTTTATTTAAAATATTTGCAAATTATGGACAAAAACACACACCAAAACTTAAAGTTTTTGAATAATCAATTTAAATTTTAAACTGAAACTCCCAAATCAAATGAAGTTATATGGTTACCAGCTATTCTTACCTGATATTGAACTTTTAAGTGAAAGATGTTCATAAGGTACAAATGCAGATAAAATAGCCAGGTTTCACTTGTAGAAATTAATTGCCTTTCCAATTTAAATGGAATCACAATATTTCTTGAAATTTAAAATCAATGTATCATTTTTGATTTTACTTATTAACAAAAATTTCATCTAGGTTATATAGAGATCACTAATGAAATCATTTATATCGTTGTTGATGTCAAAATATAGTATTTTCTTTATCTTTATGTGCATTATATTAAAAAGTTTTTAGATATTTTAATTTTTAATTAAAAATCATAGAAACAAATATCTAAAACATCACCTCAATTACATAATTCACATTTATTAATGATTTGATGTTGGGTCATATTTAATTTTAGTTTATATAATACCTAAAAAGAATGATAGCAATTTAATTCAAAATTATAATATGATAAGTAAAATACTAAAATATTTAACTGCTATTATATTTACTTTTGTTTTGGTATTAATCTCATATTGTTCCCATTATTGAAACAATTAATCTTGTATATCTAATATCTACAAAATCTTATATCTACAAAACTGCATGTTCATTTTTTTATGTTTCCACATAAATTTAATTGCTTCATTAATCACTTACTCAGTAAGTCAAATATTTGTTGAGTCCCTAATAAGCACTAATTCCAGTTCCACAAAATATCAAAAATAATTCATTTATCATCGGTTCATTAATTTGTTCAGTAAATTTCTATTGTCTACATATAATGAATTAAGAATTGTGCTTGAATCCAAGAACAAAGACAACTGGATATATCCATTATAAAACTCACAAAAATTTCCATATATCTCAGAGTACATATATATTGTCTTTGAATAAACTAATAGAAATATTTGATAGCACTCATGTATTATTTATAGATGCAGTGTATTTTAAATATTTTTCTAAACATTGACAATACATTTTTTCAATGTAGAGAAGCGTACAATTATAAAGGAAATATGACATTAGATGATTTGTTATCCTTAGAATACTAGATTTAAAGCTTTTTTAATAGGTTCTGTCTATAGTCTTAATATTATTACTCATAACAAATTAGGAAATAATAATCATTATTAGAATTCATGTCTTTAAAAATAACTTATAAATAGATTATTTTGCCAATAATTTAAAAAATTTCCCCTCACCTTTATTTATAAAATACACAATTAAGACTATTTAACACATTCTTCAAATGTATTTAATGAATATTAAGGAATAAATGGTGTCTGTTTTTTGCCTTGCTATGGTTTTATATTACATTTTTTGCAAACAATTGCATAATTATTTATAGCATAATGACATAATCAGCATGCTTATCTGATTTAACTGAGAACTCCTCTAAGAATATTATAGATGAGCCAGGAATTCTAGACATAAAATGTCCTTATTCCACATATTTTAACTATTGCTTATGGTTGGCAGAAGTGTAGGAAGAAGTCTTGCCCATGATAGGCCTACACTTAGTTGTATTTGTCCTTAAATATTTTTCCCTCTCTTCCTTCTCCTTTTTCTTTGAACTAGAAATATTACTGTAGAAATGGCAGTTAGTCATGTAAAAAGCCTGGTTAGGGTATCCACCTTTTTTACTGATAAAAAGAGATATTTTTCACCTTGCTTCAAATATTTCCTTTACTAAGTAATTGAGGATATTGATACAGATATTGTTTATAAAATGAGTACATTTAAAGTCACATACATATTTGAACATTTGTGAATTTTGAACATAGATAATTCCAAGAGAACAAGAACTATTTTGAAACTCACCATGTTGATCTAAATTTTTGATGTACAGAGATGAACTACAGAGGACCAAGCCTAAAAGAAGGGAACAGTGGTATACACATTTTCCCTTCCAACAGGATTGATGAAATATTAATAATTATTCCGTAAGCCTAAAAGAATACTGCATGTTTTACTCCCACATTGATTTTTTTTAAATTAAAAATAAATAAACTCTGAGAAGAAATGTAATACTATGTTTTATTTTGCAGTGAGAGTACTATTCCACAAAATTTTGTTAGGCTATTTAAACAAATGAATGTGGTCAAATATAGAAAAAAGGATAAGGGTAGTTAAACAATGTTGACTAACCTGGGCCATCTTAGCTAGCATAGCAAATCAAAGAATATTCATGTGTTAAACACATAACATCTGTGTTTCCTAAGTTAAAAGAGAAGGGCTACAGAAGATTCTTGTGTGACTTTGCATTGAATTACTTGAAGAATTTTTGGAATATTTGGAGAGCGCTTATTATATTACTGGCCACACAGAATAGTCTCCCAAGAATCCACTCGTGGGTTTGTTTGAGAGTGACCATCAGGACTCACCTGACCTACATGTTGACTCTAACATG